ATAAATTAACACTCTCACCTTTTTCTCTGTCTTTTTTTTAAAACCTGACTTTATAACTTTTCTTAGCAGCATAGTAACTGGCACAGTCGTTCGTGTCGTCCACTCTCTGCTGCTAACAGCATCACTGTGAAACGCTCCAACCAGGAATGAACCATTTAATGCAGGAGGGATTTGGGGGGTTCAGGGCAAATATGGATGTGAGTTTTTTGGTCTTGGAGTGGGAACATAACATTTTTACTGCTAAAAACAATCTTTGAAAATATAATATGATTAATTTTGTAATTGACAGAGCCCCAATATATATATTTTTTATTTCTATGAACAAAAAATATATTTCCAATTTGTGGAGGGCCCCCTGTTGGTCAGGGCTCCTAGAATTGTCATCATTTTCCCCCCTTTACCGCGGCCCTGAGTGGGACATTCTAACCTGATCTATAAATAATAATAATAATAATAATAAAACTGAGACGTTCCTCATTAAACTGAATTGTGACTCTGAGGATTCTGCTGCTTCTGAACAAATGAAGCTTCTATGGTTTGATTTCAGATGCTGCTCCAGAGGAAGTATCTCAATGTTTCATCGTTTTATTTAGATTTCTGAAAAAGTTCCTCCTCCTGCTCAGAAATCCCAGTTCAGTTCTCTCCTCACACCTGAGAGCAGCCAGAGCTCAGCGACGCATGAACCAAGAGACAGCTTCACTTTTCTTCTCCCCGGATACATCGGGATAAAAATAAAAGCCGCAGCGCAGCGACCGGCCACAAGGTGTCACTGTGGCTCCGCGTGAGGAATCCGGTCGGGACCAAACCGGGCTGGACCTCTGCAGCGTCAGGCCGCTCTGTGTCGGCCTGATGATCCATCAGGCTGCAGGAACTGCCGGCTGCTCTGACCTCTGTGACCTCTGTGCAGGAATTCCTTAATTCTGACACAAACATCCAGTTTGCTGCTCAACATCAAGAACCTGAAGCTCTGACAAGCTGACGGACTGAGCCGTAAACGAGGAGCAGCTCATTATTTGATTGAATTAAGAAGGAAAAGCAGAAGTTTCCACCAGCAGGAAAACATGACAGGTGAAAACATGACAGGTGAAAACATGACAGGTGAAAACATCACCAATGACCCACAAACCTCACTGAGGTCAGAGTGCAACACTCGGATCCTCTGGGTTAGTTCTGGCGTCTTTTTCGTGCTGTTGATGTTTCTTGCTTTGAAACTGAAAGTTGATCATTTCAATCAAGACCACCTGCTGTGACACCAACCAGCCACAAGGAGGCGACTGGTGTTATTCTGGCTGGATCAGGGTTCCGGTCTGTTCCTGTATATCAGATGAAACTGACAGATAAGCTGGAGACGCAGATTTAAGATTTCTCCCAATCAGGGGCGATAAAGGGGGGAAAAGCGATGACAATTCTAGGGGCCCTGACCAGCAGGGGGCCCTCTACAATTTAATTATTTATATTTTGTTCTGTCAAATACAAAATTAATCATATTGTATTTTCAAAGATTGTTTTTAGCAGTAAAAATTTAATGTTCCTCCCCCCCCCCAGACCAAAAAACAAAGATACATATTTGCCCTGAACCCCCTGAATCTGCATGAAGTGGTTCCTTCCTGCTTGGAGCGTTTGATGGTGACGCTGTTCAGCTGCAGTCAGTAGAAGCTGCAGCTGAACACAGCTGCCACGAAACGACTGTGGCGGTTACTATGCTGCTACGAAAAGTTATAAAGTCAAGTTTTCAAAAAAAAAAGTAGAGAGAGAGAGAAAAAGGCAAGAGTGTTAATTTATAACCCAGTTTTTCTCCAAGAGAGGTGAGTAGACTGTGTGAGATTATCAACCATTTAGCATAGTTAGCTTAGCTACAAACTACTGTTTGCCTCCATTTCACTAGCATTTGATGAATTAAGGAAAAAAATTACCAACATATTCATATATTTAACATGTCCCTTGTACCTTTTACCACCTAACAGATGAGTCAGTCAGCAGCAGCTCTAACCCACGTCCCTCCTGACCTGTTCTCTCCTGAGTGAAGTTAAAGCTGCAGTATGTAACTTTTATAAAAAAAATATTTTAAAACTGTCATTATGTTGTGACAGTATGGTATGAGAGGTAATCTGTGAAATATCTATTTCCTCGGCCTTCTCCCAGTGCTAGAAACAACCAGTCAGAGGCAGGAGAGTTTTAGTGCTGTCAATCACAATCTCATGTGGTGCTGCTCATCCTTCCTCCCCCTCGATTTGTGCTATTCTGCAGCTAGCATAGCACAGAGCTGTGCAGATTCAAACTGTGAATGCTCAGTTCAGTTAGCATAGCTACCAATGATGGCAGATAAACAGTTTCTTGTAATGATAAGTTGTTTCTCCCCCATTAGCACATTTAGCAGTGAGTGAATGAGGCTAATTGACAGCGCTAAGACCCTCCTCCTGGTTCTGATTGGTTGTTTTGGTCAGAACGGTGCATTACTTTAACCAGTAGTAGTAGTTCAGGAAGGAGATGGAGGAGGTTGATTGTTTTCACAGATTATCTGTCTCATAACAAACTGCTACAACATGGTGACAGCTTTAACAAATATGGAGAAAACATTTTTATTAAAGTTATGTACTGCAGCTTGAATAAAATGCAACTACATAACATTTTGAGACGTCTGGATTGGTTTATGTGTATTTTGCACGTTGCTTTTGACGGTTGCTTGTTGGTAGAGACATTTCAGTATCTAAAACTAATAGAAGAAATTTAAACAACCTACTTGCATACTGGATGTGGACTGTTGGATGTTAAATTCATGAGCAGTAAACATTGTACTAGTTATCAGAATTGAACCAAATAAAGCAAGGCAGATGCAAGACTTTAAAATTGTGACGCTTTTTATGGGTCAAATAGACTCAAGAAATTGTAACAGCAGCTGGTCAGGGGGGCCCAATGTAAGCTTTTGTCAGGGGGCCCAAGATTCCTGGAGGCGCCCCTGGTCCCAAATAGTGAAGGAAGGGACTGGAAATCGTCATGTTTTCAGTTTGTTTAAAACATTTTCTCTGCTAAACTCCTTCCTGTGTTGGCTCCTGCTGGAAGCAAACCTCCAGTCACATCTTCTAAACACTTACTTCCTCTTCTTCCATGAAGACCCAGCATGATGCTGCCACCACTGCCTACAGGTGAAGCATCTGTCTGCCTGAACGGGGCAGGACTTTCCTCTGATCCATCATTTATCCAGTGAAAATAAATCGGTGCTGAAGCTCAAAGAATCCTCCAGACGGACGTCTCCACATGTCGACGCCTTGAAGCTCCAGCTGAACAAACAGCAGGGAGGAGGAGAGCCGAGACGAAGAAGAAACAAAACGACCCGGATCTGGAAATCGACTATGAAGACTGTCAGAGGGACGGGGGTCTCAGTCTGTTTGTGCCTGATTCAGATTCTCATTCTGACATCGAGTCTTCTTGCTCTGAAACGTTTCCTGGCTTGTCCCCCGTCTCGCCTCTCTGTCTGTCCTGCTGCTGCAGAAACAATCTGGATTCAAGTTTCACAATTTCCTGCAGTTTTAAGAACAAAAACACAGTTTCTCATTTCGTCCTTCAGCTGACTTTGAAGGTAACGCTTCGGTTTCTGAACAGTTACCAATAAAACACAATCTAATGGCGGGAGGCGATAAAATCAAATTAACACAGATCTGTCACATAGAATCGTCTAGTCCAGCAGCTCTATGCATGATGTTCTGTTTTCAAACAGAAACATATTTATGTGTTTTACAGACCAGATCATGTGACCTCAGATCACCTTGTGGTGGACAGACTGCTGCTAACTGACTAAGACGCTATTAGCACAGCTAACTGTTTAACGCTTTAGCATTTTTACAAACTTTGAGAACGTTTAGCGCCCTTAGTTTCCCCTCCAGGATGTTTTCTGGAAAAATTACCATCAGTTTGTTGCTGAATTCTTTCCATTTTCTCAAAACTTTAACACAGACGTCAAATTTTATTCAACTGAAAGTTTAAAAAACAGTCAAGAAAATTAGCGCTTCACAATTTCTTCAGAAGAATTCCTTTAGGGGAAGCTAAGAGAGCTAAATGTTTCTTAAAATTAGCAACAACACTTCACATTAGCTCTGCTATTAGCCGCTAGCACTGCTTTTAATTATCACTATTAAGCAGCATGAAAGTCCCTTGTCCCCTCCCTCACCACACTGAGCCAGGTTCTGGAGAGGTCACTTCCTCTTAAACAGGAAGTTGTCCCTCTCCACTGTCCATGATTGGATGCAGTCAGCTGAGTAAATCGACTGAACAGAACGGAACCTTTCAAATTAAAGGTCTAGCTTGGTGTGGCGTGTCCTGAGTGGGACTCACCGCTGAGCGTCGCTGCTCCTCACAGGAAGTCCAGTTTGACTCCAGGATGGAGCAGAAAAAGAAACGCAGTGAGACAAACAGGAAGGGGAGTCGGCGCGGAGCGTCCGGCTTCCTGTTATTGGGACGCGGCGTCCTCGTCGGGACTCGGGTTCAGGTCCACCACGGTCGTCCCTCTGAGAGAAGCTCCTGCCTCTGCCGCCGGTGCGCAGCTTTTATTAGCGCCTGGAAGACATCAGAACGCCGTCAGAATGCCGTCAGAACCGGACCCGGGCCGGCCGCTCGGCGGGTCGGATACCTGCACCCCCCGCGGCGGACGGAGGCGCCAGGACGCCGCTGGCTCCGCCCCCTCCGCCTCCGTTGGTCTGGGAGCAGACGTTGGCGTGACGCGCCGCGGCTTTCTGCTTGTAGTGGTTGCTATGGAGCTTGTACTTCATCAGCAGGATGAAGATGAAGACGAGCACAGACGCCACAATGATCCCGCCGATGATGATGATCATGGTGCCGCCCAGGAACTGGAGGGACAGACAGGAAGTTAGACGCCAGGGTGGAGGAAAGCTGCTGCTGTGACCTGGTTTCCATGACAACAAGAAGCTGTCTACAGGAGCAAAAGGTTACTGATTAAATGCATTAACAGGATGCCGTACAGAGAGGGCAAACACTTAGAAGTAGGAAAGGAGAGACAGGAAGGAGGACAGGAGAGACAGGAAGGACGACAGGAGAGACAAGAAGGAGGACAGGAGAGACAGGAAGGACAGGAGAGACAGGAAGGAGGACAGGAGAGACAGGAAGGACGACAGGTGAGACAGGAAGGACAGGAGAGACAAGAAAGAGGACAGGAGAGACAAGAAGGAGGACAGGAGAGACAGGAAGGACAGGAGAGACAGGAAGGAGGACAGGTGCAGGCTCATGTATTAAACTTCTGTCCAGTTTATTTTATTGGTTCATTGAAACAAAGTCTGAAAATAAACATGAGTTGATGATGCAACCTGATTATGTTCAGTGTAGTAATAATGATTAAGATTGATTGATTGATTGATTGATTGACTGATTCCAGTCTGACCTCCCCTGCTGCCCCACAACATGATGCTGCCACCACCATGCTTCACTGAATCGATGTGTTAATTTTGGTCTGTCAAGGTGGACGTCCATTAACCAGAACCTCTGGGACCAGAACCAGAACCTCTGGGACCAGAACCAGAACCTTTGGGCTTTCAGAATGAAGGGGGACTGACGGATCTGGACCTGGTGACCAGATCAGTAAACTGGGATCTGTGGTCCAGTTCAGTTTGGTGAACTGGGCCCAGTAGATGTCCCGGTAGGCGGAGCACCGACCTGGTCCCGGATGGAGTGGCAGCGGCCGTACTCAGAGTCGGTGGTGAAGGAAACGCAGCCCACCATCTTGGTTCCGGTCAGCGTGGTGACGCCGTCATCATAGACCGCCAGGACGCAAAGCTCGTAGTCCCGCGCCGCCGCCAGGTCGCTCAGCAGGAAGTACTTGTGATTGGCCGGGATCATCCTGCAGACAGATGGAGACAGATGATTGGCTCTGGGTCCAGAGGAATGCTAATGCTAATGCTAACCACGGCTACAGCTGTATCAACTCAAAACGTTTCCATTTAAACTGCAACAGAACCAAAAACAGCCCTACTGTAGAACCGGGTCAGAACCGCTCCAGAGATCCGGGCCAGCAGAATACTCTGGGTGAAAAATGCAAGTAATGCACAGCGCTGAATTTTTCATGTGGATGATGTAGAGCCGAGGCTCCACCAGGCGGCGCTCTAAATCTGAGGCATCATGGGAGTTTTTCTCCGACAGCCGCCGTTACATGCTCCATTCTTGATCCAGTCAGAACAGAATCAGAACCGGACTCTTCCTGGTTCTGATTCAGAAGCAAAACGAGTTCTGATAATCCGCTCAGATTAGAAACGCAGTGAATCGCTCAGAACGGAGAGACTTTGGGGTTTATTTCAGATACTAATCAGCTAAAAAAAACTACACACTGTCGCCATAGCAACTGTCCGAAAGGAAGACGGGAACAAAAACCCTGCAGTTGCATCCAAAAGCAGAAGGAATAACAGCAGCACATCCATCCATCCATCCTTATCTGCATGCTGCTAATGAAACCTAACAGAGCAATAACTCTCTACTTTTTGTTGATTTCATAAATAAAATCCAAATAAATGCAGGATGAGACGTGATTGGCTGAAAATTCCGATCTTGTCCATCACCTCCTGCTGGCAGAAGATCAGATCAGAATATTCTGAAGCAGCGCCTGGAGAAGAATCAGATCGGTAAGCCGAGCGACC